AGCAGTTAGAAGCAATAACGCGGCACAGCAGAAGCCCAGTAAGATCGACTGATTATGATGGTAGAGTACCATGGCTTTGATGACAGAAAATAAACTTCAAGTATCTACTCGAGATTACAGAACTTTATTATATCTGCAATAATGACCGCAGCGAGATGATGCTGTGTGCTCATAGCAGCAAACACCCAAACATAGTATATACCATAACACACCGCATTTAGCCTCCATTTCAACACTTTATATCGAAACTTCTCTCAAAATTCAAACTCATAAATGATACGCTTTCTATGCACATGGTCAACTACGCGTGTTGACCACAACAATGAGGGAGTTGCCACAGATTTTCAATAAATTTTTCCCAGTCCTTTCAACACTTCTACTCGAGATGGGTTCATAATGCGACTCAGGCAACTCCCGAGCTCAGCTAATGAGACAACCATACACTCCAACGCCGTCCATCCTGTAGCCTGCTGACCCTCAACGCGGCAAGGAACTCAACACAGTATAGCACACGCACGAAAAGGCCCTATTCAAAGACCTCAATTGTGGTGTTGATGATGCTCTTGTTGTTGCCGTCTTCTCCGCTCCTCCTCTTCCTCCAAAATATAAACCGAATTGGAGCTCCCTTCAACTGGATGATTATTCCTTCGAGCCACGTAGAATATACAGTGGAACAAGGACTGAATACACGAAACCGCTAATTCCGTGGCGCGCGGTAAAATATTACTTCTGATAAGCTGTCCAGATTCGCCGCATAATTGGCATCCAAACGCTTCTCTTCTACTATATCGAAATAAACCTCCAATAATGGTCGTACCTGGGATCGAACCCGGATGCTTCCAAAACCACACTAATTGCTAGGAATCAAACACGGAAGCTCCTTCACTGCGCCACAAAATGGCTCCATTATCATACCACTCCTTTACTACATCCTCCCAACTCAGCTCGATGCTGATATCATTCTTGCTCTCAGCGAAGTGCCACAACAGCGGTCCAATATTGATGAAGACTCCTCCCGGTTTTATACAATGGGCCAGCACCCTTATATACCTACCACACCATCGCCACTTCTTGCCAATATGATACCTGTTACTGGACAACGTTCTTAGCGGTGTCTATGAAGAATATAGACGCCACAGCATCCCATGCATTGAGGTGCTCCTCACCACGGAAAGTCTGAAAGCGATGTAGACTATGTTGAAGGGCGAGTGGTAGGCAATTAATGTGATATTTTCTCGTTGCATTGATC